ACAGTTTCTTAGCGAAAAAAAAACTCCGCTGTCGCTCCGTTTTTTTTCGCACGCGCGCTTCGCGCGCGAAAAAAACTGCTATGAACACGTCAGGCTTCAGCCGGATGAGCCGATGAAATACAACGCGAGCAATCTTTCTTCTTTCTATCCACAGGGAGGGTGATCGAGTTGCACGACACAGCAGTGTCCTGCTGCTAGAGTAAGGATAAGACTTGTGTGTGCTTGATTGATGTCAAGGGCGAGTCTGTGTGTGCTGGTCCTGCCTCTCCCCTCCACCCTCGTTGCGGGCGCGAGCTCGCCGCTAGCACAGCGCCACACACTGGCACGTGCTATGCATGTCATCCATGCTGGATCGGTCTCGCTTTCACAGCGTGACCCGTGCGTCTCGCATATAGACTGCAGCACGCAGTCGTCCACGGGGTATCGTTCGCGCGTCTGCATGTCTCCCAACGGAACAAATGTGCTGGGATATGTGTTGCCCGGCCATTGTTGACGTAGAGAGGAAGAGTTGACGGTCGGTGTTGTTTCGCAGGGGCGGAAACTGATTCCTCTCCCGTTGCCATGGTTGTTATTGGGAGGGAAGAGTGGCCGTTTGGTATCTTATGGTTGGAAGAAGAAGTTGGGAAGATTCCTGCGGGGGAAAAGATTAATGAAAGGGTCAAATTTCCCGACAGGTCAGGGTACATTTCCAAAAACAGGGTACATTTCCAAAAACAGGGTGCATGCAGTTGTTGAGAAAAGTAGTCACGGCAGGGTATACCCTGCGCCTTTTCGGACGTACCGGGGTGAAATTGGGCGCTGACCAATGATATGAGTGCATTCACTGCTGCAATGACTGTGTACCCAGGTGTGTCGCTTTTCGACCAGGGTACACCCTGTTGTGTCGTTTTCCCTAAAATATTCGTCTGCAGGAAGTTTCCAGGAAACTTTCTTATCTCAAAATCTGTTTCCTTATTTCAGTATATATATTTAGAGCCCCAGTCCGAAACTGTGAAATATCTTCTGGCTACCTATCTAAACTATACCGCTCTACAGCAGCAGTTTATTGCAGAGCGGCTGCAGGGACATGCTCCGCATCCCACCAACACACACCAACACACGGACTTAATTGTAAGCATACACTGTCATCTGACTCCCAAAACCCTCTGGCAGAAAATGTAGGAATACTACTACTACTGCTGCTGCTGTGGCTTGGCATATTTTCATGATCGGCAGAAAACGTTTTCTAATTTTCTCTGCTTTTGCTTAGACTACACACAACGTGCTGCAAAACATACCGTTCGTCATGATTTTCGCTGCTTTTCCTCGCCTCCCGTACTCAACCCCGATTCTCACCACCGACGGCTGTACATCAGATCAGATACATACGAAGACCACACACCCTAGGAGTGCCCAAGTTTATTTAGCTACAACGTCTCGCTGAGGGGGTGGGTAGCGCATGGGAGCGAAAGGGGGAGAGAGAGAGAAAACCTACTGACTGTTTGCTCAAGTTTGCTTGATGTATCTTCGTCTAATCATTTGGCACACTCCCCCCCCGTAACCCCTCTCGTGTCTTACGAATGGTAGAGCATGTTAGAGGTCGCTCCTCTGTTTTTTTTTAGACGTTTCTTGTATGGTGGTGTGGCTTAGGTTGAGCTATTATGTTACGTAGCACTTTGTTCCTACTTTTTCTTGGAAAGTGAGCCGTTGTTTCTGCAAAACAAACTTACTCCGAGTAGTTCAATACTCTGTCCTCCGGCCGTCGCATAACATATGAATATAGACTGGTCATTGTGCGTCGCCGCTCTTCGAACAAACTACTTTGTTCCTCTTCGCAGCATTTCTTCTTGATATATCTCATTTCAAAACTACCCGCACACACTTGCCATCGTCAGTCAACCTATACGAGCGTAGCGGCAACCGCGAAGCGGTACGCCGCGAAGGGCCCTTGTGTTCATGACAATGGTACGATATCCGGGCGAGTTAGATTCACAAGCCACATCAAGTGCCCCACCAACGAACGATACGGCTTTTCAACGTCTGGTCCACATGGATCTAACTCTCCTTTATGATTCACACCAACGGCCATGGATTTCTTCGTTAGAGGCGACACCAAACTTAGCGAGAATGTTTTGTTTTGCGGCTTACGTAGGTCTGTTGGGAAAGAGTGGCGTCCCTGTGGGCAATATTGAAGTTTCCCAAGGTTTGTGATGGGAACGCCTCGTGCAAGTCCCTACCAAACTGCTCAAACCGATTCTTCAGCCCAGTGGAAAATCTGTCATCTACACTGACGACAACGACCAAGGCAGCAACCCGCTCTGCAAAAAAACGCATAATATCAGTCCGCGCTGACTGGTGATCCAGTGGTCATCAAGCTTCTCAGCACGCAACACCGCATATGGGGCTGCAGCAATCTCCCCAGTTCAACGCGACCTCAAACGCGTGACCGCAAGCGTCACCTCGTACCACCGCGGCACCACGTTCTGCAGAGCTGGCTCAAGGCATGCGGAAGCCCATGCCCACCGCAGTCACCGCCGTCACGGGAACCGCTGTGTCGTCACCGCCCCCACTACCGATGCCGCCGCTCAGTGCACCGGTTTCTGCGTCCCGCCCGTGACTCCCGCTCTCGCCGCCGGTGCCGCTGCCGATACTGCCGCGCCAGCCGGTACCACCAGCGTTCTGGAAGGTTCCGTCGCATCCATCACTGCCTCCCTGGCACCTCTCCCACGAAGGGCACCCGACGATAGCCCGAAGTGAATAGCTGCAGATCCCTGAGGAGAAGACGTTGTGGGTAGTGTACGTGAGGTTGTTGGCGGTGTTCAAACATAAGCATCTCCCCCCCTCGACCCGGCCTCGGCCTTAAGGATTCGGTGTCGAAGCCCGGGATCATGAAGGGAAGAGGGAGCGTCGTGGCACGTCGCTTGTAGAGCTTCTCCCCCGAGCAGAGCTTGCCAGGCATGTGAGCCTCCGCCGTCATTTTGAACGAGTCGTTCATCCAAGCAAACGCCTGCGGCCAGGTCGTCGTCCACTCCATCACCTTCCGGGGAACTTCAAATCCGGGAAATGCCGCGGGTACTTCAACCACACCGCCTTGGCTCCTTCAGGGACAAGCGCGATCTTCCGCTCCAGGCGACCGTTACGCTTTGCACCATTTACGGGAGGGAACTAGACCGCAACCCCGAGCTCATCCACACCATGCCTGAACTCGGGGTTGGTGATTTCGTTACCGTTGTCAAACCCAGCAATCCCCAACTCACCGTACGTTGCCGTAGATTGCTTAATAACTCTGTAGTACGTGAGAAAGGAATGGCACGAAGTGGCGGCTCTTATCAGCCATCCTCGAGTACCGATCACCTGAATACCCAGCTGCTATGCGGTCTCCCGCACGCATTCGCGTCGGTGGTGTGGTCAAGAGAAAGTGCAAGTCATTGATGCATCAAGCGGGTTCATCGCTCGTGCAAAACCCCACCGTGTCCTTTTCCTCATCCTCCCATGATTGTTGCGTCTCCTGGTCGTTCCGATGGCGCATCAACAGCATCGTAAGGATGCATGCTGCCCGAGCTCTCTAGACGCAAGCACTGTCCCGTGGTCAACAGGGGCACTTGGTGTGCCATCTGCGACACCCCCCCAGCACCGAACAGCTCCGCCCGAAGTGATGTTGCTCTAACTCTTCGGCTAGCGCCTCGAGCGGCGGCTACACCTCTACCAGCCCAGCGCTGCATATCTTGTGGGGGTATTCGGGTGTTCTGGGATCTATCAAACCCAACTTTTGCAGGGCCTGAAACGCCCTCAACGACTCGCCTTCCGCAACCGGCTTGCAGCAGACTACTGCTGATGATCTCTTCTGCAACCGTGTAGTATATGCAAACGCTCACCGTAGCAGGCTGCTCTTGGGGGAATGACCCCCTGACGTCCCCGCTGCCCGGTCCTGTATCCGGGCCCACCCCAGCAGTTATCCTTGACACTACGAGGCTGGCTCCCGGTCTGGTGCTTCTCCCTCGTGCTGGCGGCCTGATTCCCTCGTTGTACTGTACCTCTTCCAGCAGAGACCGCGAGCAGACGTAGCGCCCATCATGATAGCGCCCACCGTGGCCCCCCCGGACTCCCCCTCGTTCCCTCCCTTTCCTATGGCGGCTCGCAGCAGGTGCGTCAGCTCCTACGCTTGGCCTGGCAGGCTATAGGCTTTTCCCTTCAGCTCGTTGACCCCATCTGGCACACCATCTGGCAAATCGTCGGCGGAATCGGCTCCAGCATCTGCGCCACTCGTCTCCAGCACGGCTTCCCTCGAGGGATGCACTCTAGAGGGCTCGTACATACCCTTGTGTGTGTCGAATATTGTTGTGTATCACTTGCATAGACTAGACGACAGCAGACGGGATCAAGACTCTGAGTAAAGGCGGCGGCAGTGTGCTCACACAAGCACTCCCCGAGACCCGGGCCCCGTGAATCAAAACAATGAACCCAAACCGTCTGCGATACCCACAAGCACAGTCCCGTCGGAATACCCAAACCTCCCAATGCACACACCTACAGAAAGCGCGGTTGGGGCCGGCAATATATTCGCAGATTAATCAGACGGAAGCAGAAAATTCAGATGAGAAATCTACCGACTCGCAGGGTAATGTTGGTTGTGCTTCCATCTGGGCTGCGGTGGTCCGGAGGTTGCTCGGTCAGCGTGGTTGGCATTGACAGAGCTACTATGCAGAGATGCAAACACAAGCACATTACACACGCACCCGTGGTTGTGCTGCTAATGAGGTGACCCCGAACACAATGAAGGATAGAGAGTGGACACGCACGTCTCGCTCCTTACCCCTCCCGGGAGGGTACCACCGTCGCCGCAAGCTCCGCACATCATATGTTTCACAGAACGGCACGCCAGTTGTTCGAGAGTAATGTTAGTGATAGTTGCTGCTGTGTGTGTCGACAGAGTGACGTAGAACAACTTGATCGGACAGTTTGCATTGCGGGACTGTCTGCGTTGAAGATCGTGGAGTAGCCACATATTATCAGAACAGCAAGGAACATTCTGTGGGAGTGTTCTTCGTGGATGGTGCATTACCCCGAGTGTGTTTCGTGTGGATAGTGCATCAGTCAGAGGATTCATGGTACGTTGTGAAGTACGTTAGCCCCTGTCTGTTGAGTCTTTGTGTTCCGATATCATTGTGTTCTGCTTTTGTGCGTTGGTCGAGCGACACGGGTGGTGGCTGCGGTGCTGCGGTGCTGTGGTGCTCCCCACCCTTGCTCACTTCACCTTTTGACCTGTTCTCCTGGTCCAAGGTCTCAACCATAAAACATCTTTTCCCCAGAAGCCACGAGTTTACCAACACGCTATAGCGCCATCGACCAGTCGACTGCTGCTTGTCCCCTCGGACTGTACGTCAAGACTGAACGAGGGAAGATTGATCACCTTGCTTCGTGATGTGTGTGCCTGCTGAAAACCATGTGGATGACCCACCTCCGGGTGATTCGCAGGATGTTATTGGTGGTGAGAGCTTGGATTCGATTGAGACACAGTTGTCCCAGCTCACGAGTATAATCAAGTCGCTTGTTGGGCATCGAGGTGATCAGGTGGAGTCCTCCTGGCTGCGAGTCGATGTCAGGAAAGGTCTTCCGTTTAGACAAGAGTTTGGATGGACTGAGGCAGGCATGTAAAACATTTCTCAAGAGATTTGTGACGGACCTGAAGAGGATTAGTTGTTTGCGGCCTACGCCACTTGTTTATCGGGTGAGCCTGTTTTGGTGATGTATTGACTTCACGAGAGGTCGACGACCGTCCTTTACACGGACGAAAGAGGTAGTGCTCAAAGAGCGGCTCCCACAGCAAGGAGGGGCCCCGTGAATCATCGCGGTGCCCCTTATCAAACGGTTATCTTACCAGTCTGCGTGACACAAAATCATCCAGCAAATGTATCCAACAACAATGTTCGCAGACCCACGAACACCCTCCCTGGTTCTTCACGCAAGTGACTCACCATCAATTGGGCAAAAACGCCGCAGGATACATCAGGAAATACCAACATGGTAATATATGGAGGGGAAACCCGGCGTCCGGGCAAAACCCCTCAAGAAAAAACCCTACCACCACAAAAAAACCGTCGCTATCACAGCGGATCACAACGGCCGCACTTATCAGAAAGGCCAAGGCGACGACAAGAACGCGAGGAACTACGTTCCCCCGGACGATGGTCTCCCAACGCCCCCTACTGGAGGTGCTGTGGCGGGCGTACTGACTGGTGGTTGGTGCCGCCATCCTGGCTGTCGTTGTCAAGGCTGGTCGATTGAAGCCCCGCGGGAGCTCACGAACACGTCCTACTGGCGACGTCACGCCGGCACCTACTAGCGGCCCGGTGCCGATCTGGAGAACGCGAGTTGAGGCTTCTGCGGCCCCCATCGCGCGTATCCTGCTGCCTATCAATACCCGCATGCAAGATGGGTCCGTTACAGGTCGTGAGGCTGGAGGAGTACTCCGCCCTTGCTCACTTCACTCCTTGGCGGGCGGCCTCTGCAGAGCACCGTTTGCTGCATCAAATACGGCGATACGGCCCCCATCGTGCGGTGTTGCGGTGTTCGAGAAATTGAATGGCCCCAATTGGGGGGTACCGGTTGAGTTGGCCAAGTTGACGTCGTCGTTCCCTCACATGGATGTTGTCTTTTTTTCGGCAAAAGCGGGGTACGTGTGCAGTGTCAGGTGCTGAGGGGATGATTGCGCCGCCCCCAAAGACGAATGAATATGATCGAGGGTTGTATGTACTCGAACTGTTGCCACACCGAAGTCCCACTTTTGAAAATTGTGTGGGGGGGGG